CTGCTGCTGCTGATGATGATGATGATGATGATGATGATGATGATGATGATGATGATGATGATGATGATGATGATGATGATAATGAGGAGGAGGAGGAGGAAGAGGATGCGGACCAGGAGCAGGAGGAGGTGGAAGTGGAGGACTGTTGAACATCGATGAGCGCTGCTGCCCCGATGCGCAGGCACAGCTGACGAGACTGTGCCCAAGACGGATATCTGGATGATAACGAACCTCTGGCTACAGAACTAGGCGAGCCGAAGACGCAGGTTCGAGTCATTTGCCCGCGCGGGCGAAACCACAAATTCTTGTCATGTGCTCTGGGGGGCAAGACTGTATTGAACACATAACCAGGTATGAATTGCAATGCAGACTGCTGAGCTGGAACAGAGCGCAGCAAAGAAGACCCACTAGCACTTGGACCCGCAGCTGAGACAGGCTACGCGATCTCCAAACAACATGCATGCAAAGCTGAGCAGTAAACTGTGGCGGTGTGGGAAAAAACAAAAAGGCTCATCGACGGCCGCCCACGACGGCGTGGGGATGTTCTCACTCCACAATCCCATCCGAATTAAGGATACTCCACGGTGGAGGAGCCCCCGCCCACGCTGCACAAGGAAAAGCCTGCCGTCAACAGCCCTGGCGGCACCGCCTGAGGTCGGCGCGCGAGTCCACGAATCTGATAGCAAGATCGACTGCCACGCGGAGCAGCACCACATCGTGATCTGCGGAGCCATCAGCGAAAACGCTAGATATAAACCAGGACGACACGAAACTGCAACTGCTCCTAGCACGCCAACAACATAACTGCTGCAACATTCCCCAGGTGCACCCCGCCTGAAAAATAGAATGCGCGCTAATTCGACACAGGGGACAGACCTACGCAGGACGAGAGGTTTTCCTCTTGAGGCGCCGGCGGCGACAAACGGTTGGCGAGGTCTCGGTGGCGCCACCGAGCGCGCGGCGTCTGGACAACCTGCTTGCAACAACCGGGGGTGCGGAGAAATGTGTTCATGTTTGGTGCGGCCCGTGCGCGGTGAGGGTCGGTGGGATCCGTGAGACAACGCCCGACCTGTCCGTGGCATTTTGTAACTGCCCCCCCTTCCCGCGCAGAATCAAAATATCGGCGGGCCTGGGTGCCGCGAATCTGGTGTCTCTCGGTCCCCCGTTCTGAATGCATGATTTAAATATAAGTCGAAATATGAAGCGGATCCGTGTGACATCAAAACGCAACTTATATGAACAACATCTACAATCGGATCCGCGAAAACAGAAGTTATACCTACCGCAGCACAGATGCAAGTCAACTTTGGACCCGCACCGCCTGGGTTGGATCCACCAAGAAATTCCTGTCCTGCGCGCCAGCGCAGGAGTTGAAACCATCATGTCCAGGCCCAAGGGGAAACCACTTTCGTCCTGGGTGTATGAATAGAAAAAGAAAAAACGCCATAGACATCAACTTTTGGCGCTCCGAGCGGATTTCTTGGACCTGCGCTGGACCCCCCTCCCTGGCGCGCTCCGCGTGCCAGGGGCGGCGCCAGAGGCGCCGCCTGCGGGGCCCCAGCGCCACTCCGCGCGGAGCTCCGAACGTTGCTGCTCCGAACGCGTTGCTGCTCCGAACGGCGTTTCTTCCTCTTCTTCGAATGAAGAGGTCGAATCCTCTTGCATCGGGTTCGATGGGCTTGCAGCAGGCTGAAGAGCAGCCATGCCCGAGGCAGACTGCACTCCCGTGGCAGCTTCCTCTGGCCCGAGGGCGGCCGCCACAGGACAGAGCGCAGTACGATCATCACCCTCCTCCTCCTCCTCCTCCTCCTGCTCCTAGTCCTGCTCCTGCTCCTGCTCCTCCTCCTCCTGCTCCTGCTCCTGCTCCTGCTCCTCCTCCTCCTCCTCCTCCTCCTGCTCCTGCTCCTCCTGCTCCTGCTCCTGCTCCTGCTCCTCCTCCTCTTCTTCCTCCACTTATTCCTCCTCCTCCTCCTCCTCCTCCTCCTCCTCCTCCTCCTCCTCCAGGGGGGCGGGCGAGGCTCCAAGGCCGTGGCGGAGAGGGACATCCCCATTTGAGCACCGCTGGCCGGCGGCCGAGATTGCCCGAACGACCCTGGGGCCACGACCGGCAACGCTGGCAAGGCAGGCAGGGGCCTCGACAAGTCGACGTGCCGTCACTGCGCGGATGCTGGCCCTTGGTCCTCCGAGCCCCCGCAGCCCTGCCGGGCCCACGGCAACGGCTCGCGCCCTGCAGACCCGGTCGCTGGTTTAGGGAGCCAGGCGGGTCTTTCGACCTCGAACGGTCGCAGGCTTCTCTCTCTCTCTCTCTCTCTCTCTCTCTCTATATATATATATTTATGTATAATTTTCTGTTGGTAGTTTTTTATATAGTTCTTGTTGGTTGTTTTTGTTTCTGTTGTGTGTGTGTGGGTGAGTTTTTTTTTTTTTTTTTTTTTTTTTTTTTGTTGTTGTTTTTGTTTTTTTTGTTTGTTTGTGTTGTTCGTTTGTTAGTGTGTGCTTTTTTTGCGTGTGTGTGTGCTTTGTGTGTATATATATATATATATATATATGTATGTGTGTGTGTGTGTGTGGTGTGTGTTTTGTAGTTTTTTCCACAGATCGCTGCATGTTGGCCGATCCTGGGCCACTGGCGGCGCTCCACGAGGAGGAGAAGGAGAGACCCGCCCCCCGAGGCGCGCCGTGTGACAGGGCCCGCACCCCTGCACACCTCGCCGCAAACAGGCATGCTCGGCCCTCGAGGGACTTCACTCCGAGAGGGGGCGAAGGAGGAGGAGGTGGTGGTGGTGCTCAGCCTCCTGTCCCCGCGGCATCCTGACAGATCTTGCATGGCGACCGCTGCGCGCCTCAAGAGTGGGAAACCCTCGAAAACGTTAGTAGACGCCTCCTAGATGGGATCGGAGTAGACGCGGTCGGAGGATCGCGCAGCATCGGCGATGCATCGGCGATGCATCGCCGATGCGCCCGCGACGTCGGCGATGCATCGGCGACGTCGGCACGGAGAACATCGGGCTCCACATAGAACCGCATCGCCGATGCTCGGCGATGCGGCGCGATCCTCCGACCCCATTTGGGAGGCCTAGAGTTTGAAGGAGGGGGGGGAGGACGATGCGTGGCCAAGAGGAGGAGGAGCAGGTGGTGGAGGTACTCAACCTCTGGTCTCTGCTGCACCCTGACAGATATTGCGTGACGACCGCTGTGCGCCTCAACAGTGGGAAACCCTCGAACACGTTTGAAGGCGGGGCGACGGCGGCGGCGCCCGCCCTCGTCCTCTTCAGCACGTCGGAGGTCTGGGCCCACCCCCCTGTCCCACCCCTGGCGTCAGGTCGGGCGTGTCCTCCTACAGGCGGGTTTTGCAGGAAAATTTAAGTATACCCCACAAGTAATCGACAAATGCTCACACATGGTCAAAACATCGTCCCCAGACAAGTTTTGACTATTTGGGAATCGTCCTCCTGTAGAGGGACAGGCCCGACTTAACCCTGGCGTCCGACCGACCCGAGCACGGCAGGCCCCCGCTGGGTGCTCCAGAGGAGCGCCCAGCGGCATGCAGCAGGAGCCCGACCACAAGACACCTTCCACAAGAGCCCCAACCCCGAGACCCCAGGGAGTCCATTGATTTTTGGTGTGGGAGCGTCACGCTTTCCATCGCAGAATCATCGAAGCCTAAGAAACCCAGGGCACCCTGGAAGCAAGCTGGGTGTTTCTTGGCATGGGTGTCCACTGTAAATCAAGGGGCCCAAGGACACACAAATAAATACACACAAATATCTGGATTCACCATATGTTCCCGTATTTTCTGGGTTTTTGTCTTCCCCCCTATTTCCAATATTTTCCCATATTTTCTTGGGAATCGACGATTCATTGTGTCTGTGTGTTTCTTCCCCTCCTGAGTTGAGTAAACACAAACTCTCGGAGGTCCGTGCGGATGTCGTGGATCGGCGCCCTGCCATCGCTCCGACGTCCCCCCTACCCGTGCGTATTCTTTGCCTGCGTTTTTTTTTTTTTTTTTTTTTTTGTTTTTCCCCAAGCTGGCCCAGGATACTCCTTGATGTGAAGGGGCCTTGGGACACACACACACACACACAAATAAATACACACATAACAGGATTCCCCACATTTTCGCATATTTTCTGGGTTTTTGTCTTCCCCCCACTTCCCATAGTTTCGCATATTTTCGGGGGAATCGACGATTCATCGTGTCTGTGTGCTCCTTTCCCTCCTGATGATGCATCATGGCCCCTGCCGGGAAAACGCGCACCTGTCCGAGCGCTGCCAAGGCGCTGGACTCCCTACCCTGGCGCGCGGTGCGTGCCAGGGGCGGCACCAAGGGGGGTTTCAGCGCCACTCCGCGCGGAGCTCCGAACGCTGCCGCTCACGCGGTGCTCTCCCTCTCGCCGCGGCCACGGGGGGGCCCCTCGGCAGGCGCCCGGGGCGGGCCTGAAGAAGACCGCGGGGTCGATGCTGTGGGAGCCCTCCTCGCCGCGCGGCCCCGGCGCGCGCCGGAAAAATGCCAGGGGAAGGCGGCACCACCAGCGCCCGGGCCGCGCAGTGTCCACATGAGAGCAAGAACGCAGCCGAGCTTGGAAGCTGGGCGAAGGCTGGCAACTCCGTGGCTGCTAAAACGGTCTTCCCGGAAGGAAAAAACAGACTCCCGGAATCAAGCTCGGCGCACGAAGCAGTAGACGGTCTGCTTCCCGGAAGAAAAACACAATTTCCCGGAGCTCTGTCTTAGCAGCCACGGGTTTGCCAGCCTTCGTCCGGCTTCTGATGAGCACAGGAGGGCGAGCAGGCAGCTGCGGAGCTCGGACATGCAGGGGCAAGGTGCGGACGACGTTGCACAGCCCTAGGAGAGCAGAGCATGGACAGCGCGAGCAGCATGTCTGCACGAGTGGAGGAACCGCGGAGGTCCGCGCGGACTTCATGGATCGGCGCTGGACCCCCCTCCCTGGCGCGCGGAGCGCGCCAGGGGCGGCGCCGGAGGCGCCGCCAGGGGGGCCCCAGCGCCGATCCGAGAACTCCGCGCGGACCGCCGACAATTTACGCTTATGAAATGTTTTGGTCCTCGAGAGACCGCCTGCGACGTCTCCTGGCCCGCCCTCCCTGGCGGGTGGAGCGCGCCGTCAGGGGGGCCGCCCGAGAACTCCGCGCGGACCACGGACAGTTCGCGCTTATGATTAGGTCGAGCATGTCCCCTACAGGGTGAGTTTCGACGAAAAATAAAAAATACAAAGACAAATACTCATAACACATCAAAATAATGAAAGAATCGTCCCCCGACTATTTTTTGATTATTCTCAAAATATTCCTCCTGTAGAGAGACAAACCCGACTTAAGCTTATGCCATTGTTTGGTCCTCGAGAGGCCGCCCGCGACGTCTCCAGGCCCGCCTGAGCGCGCGCTCGGACCGCCCCTGCCGCGCGGGGACGTGAAGAAGGTCCTCGAGGGACGCCCTCGATCCCCAGCTCGGAGTCACTCCTGCCTCCAGGAGGGAGAGGCACCACCAGGGAGGAGTGATCCATGAAGGAAAATGGATGGAGGAGGAAAAGGGATGGAGGAGGAGGAGGAGGAGGAGGAGGAGGAGGAGGAGGAGGAGGAGGAAGGAGGAGAGGAGGAGGAGGAGGAGGAGGAGGAGGAGGAGGAGGAGGAGGAGGGATGAGACCCCTCGCTGGAGCCCCCCGGTGGTGCCCCTCCCTCCTGCGGGGCAGGGGCGACTCCGAGCGCTCTGCCGCCGCCGCCGCCGACGACGGAGACGTGGACGGCGTCAGCGCCTCAGGAAGCTCTCGGAGGGCTTTCCTGAAAGGCTTCGCCGCCGCGGCCGAGCGCGGCTCGGGCAGACGGAAGGCCCAGACAGCTGGTGTCTCGAACACGTCGAGGCGGAAATTGCTCATACCTTTCGGCCTCTCGGGGTCCTCCTGCCGGGCCTCGGGGCCGTCAGAAGAACGACTCGGGAGGTCGGGTGCTCACGTCTCGAACAAATCGTGGGAGGAGGAGGAGGAGGAAGAGGAGGAGGAGGAGGAGAGAGGAGGAGGAGAGGAGGAGGAGGAGGAGGAGGAGGAGGAGGAGGAGGAGGAGGAGGAGGAGGAGGAGGAGGAGGAGGAGGAGGAGGAGGGAGGAGGAGAGGGGAGGAGGAGGAGGAGGAGGCGGAGGAGGAGAGGAGGAGGAGGAGGAGGAGGAGGAGGAAGGAGGTGGGAGGAATAGGAGGAGGAAGAGGAGGAGGAGGAGGAGGAGGAGGAGGAGGAGGAGGAGAAGGAGGAGGGGGGGAGGGGAAACCGTCGGAGGGGCCCGGGGACCAGCCTCGAGCGGGCTTTGGTCGGGGGCGGGGGGCCGGGGTGGCGGTCAGCTGGAGGGGGCCCTCTGAGGAGCGGGGTGGGCGACAGCGGGGGGGATGTTAACGGCGGAGGGGGGCTGGCGAATCATCCCTCGCGATGCTGATTTTCGCGGCGCCCCCCAGCGCCAGCGGTGTGGAGGAGAGCTCCGGTAGCATATCATAACACAACACATCATGAAAACGCATGCCATGGCAGATCGGAACGCAAGCAATATAACATAACACAGCATAACAACACATGGCATAACATAGCATCACACAATACACCATGACATATCGCACCGCAACTTAACACAGCATCACACCACACATCATTCCACACCATGGCAGGGCACACCATGACAGAGCGCGGCATAATATGCTGGATCGTAGCAGATCACAACAGAGCATAACACCATCAGCTATGCCACAATTGGTCACGCATAACATAGTCTAACACCACACCTCACAACACAACATAACAGAGCATAAGATGGCGTGCTCGGGCGTCACACCACAACACCACACCACCTGAAGCCCCCCGACCGCCGCGCTGGCCGAGACCACCGCGCCCCGCGCACATCGTTCCAAGCAGCGCGCGCACCTTCGGGATCAAACGCCGAACATTTCGGTGGGGATCGTTCGAAATAAAATCATGTTTCTCCCTCGAGGGCAGCAAGCCGGACAACGCACGCACGGTACAGCGGGCCGGCGGTCGATAGGACACATGGGGCAGACTTACTCTTCATCTCTCGGGGGCCCCCAAGCGGTGTGGTGACCACACCGCGTGGTGAGTGAGTGGGGATTCGGGGAGGCCGAGGAGGAGGAGGAGGAGGAGGAGGAGGAGGAGGAGGAGGAGGAGGGAGGAGGAGGAAGGAGGAGGAGCAGGAGGCGGAGGATGGGTCGCCTAAGCCCTTCGGAGAAACCCTCCAATTCGGGGTCGCCGCACGGTTCTGGGACTCGGCCCGTTTTCCGAGACGTCTCGGGCGACAGGGGCCTCCGAGGCCCCAGAACCGTGCGTTGATGGACAGCGCGGTGAAGCCTCTTGGGGGTTCGAGGTCGCCGCGCGGTCTGTCATCACGCTGCTTTGGGGCCCGCGCATCTCGCAGGAACGACCTTTTGACCGGCTGGGGCCGAGGCGGGCTTGTCTTGTCCTTCATGCCCTCCTTCCCCTCGCTGTCGTACCTTTGGCGACCCGTGGGTGGCGGCGCGGGTGCGGGGTCCAGAGCAACGCGCTCCAGCAGGGACGCCCTTCCTCCTCCAGAGAGAGAGAGAGAGAGAGAGAGAGAGAGAGAGAGGGAGAGAGGGAGGGAGAGGGAGGGAAAGAAAGAGAGAGAGAGAGACAACAGAGAGATATAGGGAGAAAACAAATAAAAACATAGAGCAGGGGCGGGAGGAGGATGATGAAGAGGAGGAGGAGGGAGACGGGGAATGGGATGAGGGAGGAGGCGGATGTCGAGGAGGGAGGAGGCTGCGGACGTGGGAGGGAGGGAGCGAAGGGTGGGATGGTGGGAGGGAGGGAGGGGAGACGGGCGCCTGCCACGAGCTGACTGCGGGGCCGAGCGCGCGCGTGCGCGTGGAGGGGGGGGGGCCAGCGCGGGCCTCGCGGGCCACGCGCCGCGAGGCCGGTGCCCCCCGCGAGAGGGATGCGCTCGGGCGCTGCTCCACGCACGGGTGGGGGGGCGAGGGCGGAGGAGCGTTGCGCCTGCCGTGCCCCTCTCGGGCCCCCAAGGAACCCTTCTGGGGTTAGGTCGGGCGTGTCCCTGCAGGCGGATTTTGGGCGAAAAACAAAGAATGCCCCAAACATATGTAGAAATGTGTAGAAACATGGTCAAAAAATCGTCCCTGGACTATTTTTGGATTATTTTTGAGTATTCCCCCTGTAGAGGGACAGGCCTGGCTTAACTTTGGGGCCCCTAACGTTACCCCTGAGGATGTGGGAAGAGCCGAGGGGGGGGAGCTGCCGTGGGCTCTGCCGGAGGCGGCGGCCCGGGAGCTTTCCCCGGAAGTCCGCTCGCGAACCCCCTCCGGCACTTCAAGCCCGTGCCCGTGCACGGCGGGCAGCAGTTCCCGCCACACTTCCGCACGGGCCTCGCCATCTTCTGGCGAGCCTCTCGCTGGAGCTCCCTCTGCTCGTCCGCGGCGCAAGGGATGTGGACACTGCTTCGGGATCCCAAAACTCGCGGTGACGGCCCGCGTGCCGACCTCGGAATGCCCAACGACCTCGGCGCGCGGTCTGTTACCGCACGGTCTTGACACCTCCGAGGCCCCTGTCGCCCGAGGCGTCCACGGACAACGACCCGAGTCCCGAAACCGTGCGGCGGCCATGAAGACCCACTGGCTCACCACGCGGTGTGGTCAGCACACGCGCCGTGTCGCTGAGAGGCACGGCGCCATGTCGCTGAGAGGCGCGGCGGCTGCGCAGTGCGGTGCAGGGCACCGATGCCGAGGTGCAGGGCCACGTCGGGCGTGAGCCGCGAGCAGGGTGGCTGGCATCACCCCGCTGAGCGGCATGGCGGAGTGCAGCAGCACTGCGACGAGCGGCGGTGAACTCTCCACGCCTGCGAGTTGGCCCACGCAGCCTGGCGGGCACCACGCTAGCTGCGTCGCTGAGCAGGACGCAGGAAACCAGACAACGCGTCGACGAGCAAAAGTCCGACTCCCTCTCCCGCGAGCGCCGACATAGCTGCACGGCGCGCGGGATAATCGAATTGATAAATCGGATCGGCAATCGAAATTAATCGGTTCGGCGGAAATCGGCAGCCGAGTCGGGAGAAGTCGAATCGGCGGAAATCGGCAGAATAGTGATGCCTCATTGAGAAATCGGAATCCACATCGGCATCGGAAGTCAAATCGAATCGGAATCGGAGGCCACCGACATCAAATCGAATCGAATCGGAGGAATCGAGACGAGCCCTGCGCGGGCGCCACTGCACGATGGCGGGTGTCAGGGCGGTGTCCTGCCATCCGCGCGGTGCGCGGTGCGTGGGGGAAGCCCGCTCGGGACCGGCGGGTGAGCGATCCCCGCCTGGACGCCCGGCTGATGGTGCGAAGCGAGATGCGAGAAACGAGGAGGAGGAGGAGGAGGAGGAGGAGGAGGAGGAGGAGGAGGAGGAGGAGGAGGAGGAGGGAGGAGGGAGGAGGGAGGAGGGAGGAGGGAGGAGGGGGAGGGAGGAGGTAGAGGAGGAGGAGGAGGAGGAGGAGGAGGAGGAGGAGGAGGAGAGGAGGAGGAGCAGGAATAGGAACAGGCTATCCCACGTAGTGGTACAAGGAAAATGACGGCTTCCTCCCCTGAGCTCGACGCGCCACGCGACGAAGAGGTAGAGCGGCGCGACGACCTTAACGAGGAGGGACACCTTCAGCTCTGCGGGCATTCGGATGGAGCTGCTGTGGGGGGAGCGGGCACCACCGCAGGCCCGTTTACAGAGCATTGACCCAAGTGTTGCATAAAGTCTGCTGGAACGGCCGATGACACTATATCAGTATATCAGAATTGCGACTTTCCCACCTGGCTCCGCAAATATCCTGCCAGCACTGACGCAAACTGGTCGCCCGATCATCAGGCTTGAACATCGCCTTATCAACAGAGTCAGCAGCTACTTTGTGAGAGACCGTACTGTCGAGGCGGCGCCGCATATGCAGAAATGAACGACTGGCTGACCTCTTGCGCGCCCAGCTGTTCATCTGCTCTTCAACCTCGACAATGTGCGCGTCCTCGTCGGTGTTGGTCACCGTGTCCGAGGCGGGGTCGGGCGCGACCGTGGCTGTATCCAGCCCGGCCTCGTCCGACAGAGCCTCCTCGGCAGCGGCACTCGCAAAAATAGCAGCAGGCAGCGGCGGTGGAACAGGAAATTGATCATCTTGCTCCGCCTCCGCCTTATCACACGCGCTCGCTCTGATCTCAGCGCTGGAGCTGAAAAAGTCGGGCTCTGTCACCGCCTCCAACTTCTCGCATGCGCAATGCGCAGAGCTGTAGGTGGGAATATTTGGCTCCAACTTCGACTTCCCAAGCGCCTGCTTCTCGCATTTCTTGCGTGCAGCAACTTCCGTGCTGTAGCTGAAGGCGTCTGGGTCCGGTGCCCACAATACGCCGGCAGCCACTGCACCGTTCTCGCATGCCGGAGCGTGCCCCTGCAGACAGTCGGCGGCCTGGCCCGAGGTCCACGACAGATCCCGCCACGGCTCCACGACAACGAGACCAAAATCCAGTGCCGCTTGACGACCCACTGCCAGGTGCAGCCTCCGCAGCGCGCGTCTCCTGCTCTTGCTGATCGTTCCATAAGGGTTCCACTCAACCGAAAAGGGGGGCACACTCCACGACGACCAGGGGTGAACAGGTACGGTTGCTGCCATGATCACGATTCGTCTCGATCTTAGCCACCCGTCCGAAATGCAACAGAAATACACAGTTCAGGTGCCACAAGCGCGGCGCGATGAGCCGCCGAGGCACGGCATCGAGACTGGGTTGAGCCAAAAGAAATGGCGATGGACCCGCCTCGAGCCGCATGTGCTTGAGGAGGAGGAGGAGGAGGAGGAGGAGGAGGAGGAGGAGGAGGAGGTAGGAGGAGGTAGGAGGTAGGAGGAGGTAGGAGGAGGAGGAGGAGGAGGAACAACGATACCCAGGCTCACCACACATCCGGCGGCACGATCGTTTCGAAACGGGCACTCCGCAGATTCCTCTACCCATTCCCCAGGGCCGGTTTGGCGCCCCGGGGCCCGAAGGCTGGCGCTCTGAGGCTCAAGAGTCACAAGATGATGATGATGATGATGATGATGATGATGATGCTGATGATGATGAAAATGCTGATGATGATGACGATGATGATGATGCTGATGACGATGCTGATGCTGATGCTGATGATGATGCTGAAGCTGATGATGATGGAGATGATGATGCTGTTGCTGATGATGATGCTGATGATGCTGCTGCTGATGATGCTGACGATTATGATTGTGATGGTGATGACGATGAAATCGATGGTTACCATGACGATCATGACGATTATGATGATGATGATGATGATGATGATGATGACGATGACGATGATGATGACGATGCTGATGATAATACTGATGATGCTGCTGCTGCTGCTGCTGATGATGATGATGATGATGATGATGATGATGATGATGACGATGCTGCTGATGATGATTCTGCTGATGGTGAACGTTTTGTTAGTCGGCGTTTCGACTTTGGGCGAAAGGGGGGGGAGGGGGGGCTCTGGCTCTGGGCCTCTGCTTAATGCTACTGTTTGCAGCAGTGCGTCATGTGGGGGAGACCCCATCTGCTCGAAGCAGGCGCCCCAAACAGCCAAGATCTACTCCATGGGGGGGGAGGGGTGGGGTCGAGGGCCCGCGCCGATCGGCAGGACAGTTAATAACGAATGATCACATGCTGATGCTACTGATTATGCTGCTGCTGCTCATGATGATGATGATGATGATGATGATGATGATGATGATGATGATGATGATGATGACGCTGCTGATGATGCTGCTGATGATGATGATGATGGAGATGACGATGATGCTGCTGATGATGATGCTGCTGATGCTGCTGATGAGTATGCTGATGATGATGCTGACGATTATGATGTTGATGGTGATGCTGATGGTGAAAGTGATGGTTACCATGACGATTCTGATGATGACGATGATGATGCTGTTGATGATGATGACTATGCTGATGATGATGCTACTGATTAAGATGAGGCTGCTTACGATGATGACGATGAAAATTAAGATGAACATGCGGATGATGCAGCTGCTGATTATGATGATGATGATGATTATATATGGTGGTGATGATCCTGCTTCTGCTGCTGCTGTGATGATGCTGGTGATGATGATGATGCTGATGATGATGATGATGATGATGATGATGATGGTGGTGATGGTGATGCTGCTACTACTGCTGCTGATGATGATGACAACACTGATAATAATGATGTGGCGGAAATCTGGTCGTCTCGATCTGTCCGACCCTAAGACGAATACGCACCAATAAACAAAACATCATAAACATATCAATCTCGACTCTGTCTATGTCTGGGCCTTTAGAATAATGAACGGCAAGGGCATACATAATATCTCAAAGGCACGAGCGGACTTCTTTGATCAGCGACGCCAGGGGGGCCAATCGCAGATCTCAGAAATCAGCCCAGACCTCCGAAAGTTCATGCTTATGTACGGCAAATTCAGTCGTGACGACTCTGGCGTTTTCTGACACCGTGTGGATTGTTCAGCCTTGAACGATCGGCGGCTTTCCGACTGCCAGACCGCTCCACATCGGTCGATTCTGGGCCGCAGGGGGCATTCGACCTTGAGCGCCCGCGGTGGGATCGCTGACGCGTCGGCACGACACGACCCTGCCGTAGCAACGTCTTCTTCGACGAGACGGCCTCTTGCCCAGACCCCCTGGCAACCCTACAAGCCAGCTCGAACCAGACACCCCCCCAAATCAGATCAGCCCCCCTTGTTGTGACGTCCACCGTGTTTTCTCTGGTCGGGGACCACTGCCCCGGTCGGCGGAGGGCGGGACAGAACTTGTGCCCATATCCACTGCAGTTTAGAGTTTCGGGCTCCCTTCAACAGAAGCTCGAGGCGCACTGGATATGGATCAACATGCTGCTCGTAAAGGTGCGAATCTTATCCATATCCCGTGCGCCTCGGCCTTCTTTGCGCCCCCGCCCAAACATTCCAAGACGCGCTGGATATGGATATGAACCTCGCCCGCCCCGAGTGGCTCCCAGACCTGGGCCAGCCAGAGTGGATTGGCTGACCCCCGTTAGCGCGAATTAGAGGCCTCCTAGATGGGGTCGGGGTAGATGGGGTCGGAGGATCACACCGCACCGCCAATGCATCACCAGTGTATCGGCGATGCATCGGCGACGTCGGCGACGCATCCGCCACGTCGGCGTGGGGAACATCGGGCTCCACATCGAGTCGCATCGTCGATGCATCGGCGACGCGGTGCGACCCCCCGACCCCGTCTCCGCGGACCACAGCTGGGAGGCCCAGACCAATCCACCCCTGTCACGCGAACCCCGAACTCCCGTCGAGCCCCTCCCCCCCCGCCCGCGCGCCAAGCGGGGAGCGGAGGCCGCCCTTCGGCGGGGGGGGCACTTCCGCCGCAGCTGCGGGTCCGAGAGCACCTGCGGAGGAGGAGGAGGAGGAGGAGGAGGAGGAGGAGGAGGAGGAGGAGGAGGAGGAGGAGGAGGAGGAGCTCCATGGGGCAGCCGCGGGAAGAGGCGCGGCCGCGGGCGCGGGCGCCCGGGCACCCCTGAGGAGGGGGGGGCCCCGGCCTGCACTCGGCGGCGGGCCTCGGGGGGGAAGGCGAGGGAGGGCGGGCCTCCTGCGGAGGCTCGGGAGGCCCCTCGGACCCTCGGGCGAGCCTCCCGAGCGCTCCCCGAAGACGCGAAGCACATCTCAGAAGGCTGGGGGGCCTTCTGAAAATCCCCGCCGCCTTCTGAGAAGGCCTGCTCCTTCTCAATCCCCCCCTGGGCACGCCGCTGCTGCACTCTCCCCTGATAGTGTTTCGCTGAGAAGGGCTCCTGTCATGCTCAAAGACATCCTCTCACCAGACTCTCCTCAGAGGGGGGGCTGGGGGAGGTGTCTCCCAGGCCCGGCGGGCTGCCGGGGAGGAGCGGGGGGAGAGGGATGGGAAGAGAGGGAAGGAGGGAGATGGGGAGATAGGGGGAGGACGGAGGAGGGGGATGGGGAGATGAGGACGAGAGTAGGAGGCAGGAGAGACGGCGGAGGCGGATGGAGGAGTTGACCAGGAGAAGCCCATTCTGAGCCCTTTGTGAAGCACATCGTGCCGAAGAGCGTGAAAAGGAGAGGAAAACGACGACGGCGAAGACGACGACGGGGAAAGGGAAACAGGAGAGGAGGGGTAAGGCGTAGGAGGAACTCCGTGGGAACAACGGCCCTTGATGTGCAGTAACGTCTACAGCGCCCAGTTTCGGCGCCAGAGGGGGCCATTTGCTAATCTAGGTGTTTTCGCACCGAGGCTGGGCGAAACCGTACTGCACACTCCACCCTGGCTGGGCAGCCTCATGGCTCGACGGGGCCGTCCACGAGAAGGACGAGGATGAGGAGGTAAGGAAAGAGGGAAAGGGCGGAAAGGGCTTAGCAGGCTGGAGTGGGTTCCAGGGGGTGAAAGGGGTGGGGAGGAAGAGGGATGTCAGCAGCGAGCAACAGGGGGAGGAGAAACGCTGCCGCATGCCTGGTAGGCGTCTGCCAGCTTCTGGAACTTGGCATTTGCCTCGGCGTCGCCTGGCATACCCAATCCAACTCCAAATGCCTCCTTCCCCCCATCCAACTCGCCTCGTCATCGCCCTCCCCCTTTTCTGCCTGCTCCTCCTTTCCCCCCTCTCATTTTCCATCTCCTTTTCCGTGGCCTTCGCTCCCCTTCCCTCCCTCCCTCTCCCTCCGCACCCCACCTTTTCCGCCTCCTGTTCCTACTCCGCCTGTGGTTCTTCCTGCCTTTCCCCCCTCTCCTCTTCCTGATAGCTGTTTTCCTCCTTCTCCTCCCTCCTCCGTAGCCGTTTTGGCTCCAGCGAGCCGGCTCACGGGCGCCCTCCGCGCGCGGTCGCGTGGCCAACGGCATGCGTCCTCCGGGCGCGCCATGATCTTCAAACCGGTCGCGATCCTCCGCCCGCGCACTCCGCGCTCCGAGGCAGACGCGTGCAGAGCGAGGCGCTTGTGGCGCGCTGCCGGGCCTTCTCGGGCTTCTCCGGCGGCGCGCTGGAAGGTCGCGGACGCCCTCGGGGGCGGAGGAGGAGGAGGAGGAAGAGGAGGAGGGAAAGGAGGAGGAAGAGGAGGATGAGGAGGAGGAGGAGGAGGAGGAGGAGGAGGAGGCGGAGGCGGAGGCGGAGGCGGAGGCGGAGGCGGAGGCGGAGGCGGAAGCGGAGGCGGCGGAGGCGGAGGCGGAGGCGGAGGCGGAGGCGGAGGCAGAGGCGGAGGCGGAGGCGGAGGCGGAGGCGGAGGCGGAGGCGGAGGCGGAGGCGGGGGCGGAGGCGGAGGCGGAGGAGGAGGAGGAGGAGGAGGAGGAGGAGGAGGAGGAGGAGGAGGAGGAGGAGGAGGAGCAAGGGAGGAGGGTGAGGAGGAGGAGGAGGAGGAGGAGGAGGAGGAGGAGGAGGAGGAGGAGGAGGAGGAGGAGGATGGAGGAGGAGGAGGAGGAGGAGGAGGAGGAGGAGGAGGAGGAGGAGGAGGAGGAGGAGGAGGAGGAGGAGCCCCGAGAGGCCCGACGAGGCACGAACGGCCTCCAAGAGGCCCTCGAACGGCCTCCAAGAGGCCTCAAAACTGCCGCCATGAGTCCAAGAGGCCCACGCCCCACGATATCCAAGCGAACATCCAAGGGACCTCTAACCCACAACCCATGCAAGGTGGCGGGATGGGCCGAAGGCCACAATCTATTCCTGTCCGCATCTTTTTGTAAGACCGGGGACCCTGGCAAAAGCGCAAGGAGGAGGAGGAGGCCCCCTGACCCAGGAAGAAGCGCCCCCCCCCCCCCCCGAACGAATTTGGCCCACCCTGGGCCGCTCGGGCAGCTCTCCAGACGACCCCGGAGAATCCCACGAGAGCCCGAAAACGTCCCCAGAGGGCTCCAGGCGTTCCGGCGCGCTCCCGACACGACCCCAGAGAGCCCCCAAACACAATCAAAAAACACACTGTGGGAAAAAACACACACACACACAGTCTGTGGGGGAAAAACACACACACACAAAACACACAAAGAACACACACACAGTGTGTGTGTGTGTGTGTGTGTGTTTGTGTTGTTTCCCACAGTGTGTGTGTGTGTGTGTGTTTCCCACAGAAACGGCCCCAGAGAGCCCCAAGACGGTCCACGACGACCCCAAAGAAGTCGTCATACCCCCAAAGATCGTTCCAAAACGTCCCAAGAGGCCTCCAAGAGCACTCGCACGAAGCCCCAAGAGGCAACACTCATTGATTTTCTACTGTTTTTGTGAATTTTTGGGTTATCCTCTTTTCGGCTTCCCGACGCTTCAAGACGGCGGTCTTCTGGGCGTCCGACGCCGCCTGGGAGGCTCGAAAATCGCCCCACAACCATCCGAAATGGCTTCTTGGCAGTCCAAGAGAGCCCCAAGACGGCAGAACAGGGTTCCAAAATGGCCTAAGAGAGCCCCATGACGGCCCAAGATGGCCCCAACCTCCGAAGCATTCCAAATCGTGACTCAGTCGTTCAGGGAGACCGCGGTTGGAGGCAGGGTGGCCCGAGGAAGCCCCCAGAGGCCCCCAGAACATGCCCAGGAGGCCTCCAGAAGGCCTCAAGAAAGCCTGAACAACTTTTGTGAGGCCCCTAAAGGCTTTCCCAGGAGGAGCCTCCGCAAAAAGAGATGAGGAGGATGGGAAGAATACGCAGGGTATGGCGAGAATGAGGAAAACGAAGCATGGAGGAAATATAACGAACTATATTATTATAACGGCGATGCCGGAAAAGGCAACAAGAAGTTATCGCTACATTGTCGGCTTGACCTTCCTGCCATTCCGCCTGCATACCAAAGTTCAAGGACCAAGGTGCATGGCGCGAATCGCCAATGCAGTCTTTTATGTATATATCTATACATATATAGATGTATCTCTCTCTCTGTGTTGATTGCTGGTGTCGTCGCTCACCTTTGAATGGCCGTTTCGCGTTGGGGGTCCTCGAAAACCTGAAACGCGGAAGCACCCGTCACGCATATCACGAACAAATGTTCGAAGCCACACTGGTTTCCACTTCCCATGTATTTGTTCACTGAGTTCAAGTGTGCTGCTCCACCTGGGTCAACTATTAGGTCTCGCACGCCCACATGGGACGCTTCGGTTAAGTCGTTGGCATCTTCCCCATGCCCACAGAGATACCTCGCCACGTTTCGTCTTATCGCAAGCGCAAGCTGTGGCCACCCTATTTGTGACCCCGTACGTCTCAGGATACGTTCGGCGAGTCTCAGCCTACACGCTTGCAACATCATCCTCCCTATCGTGTCTTACTTCTTCACCCTACCTACCCCCAACCCCTCCTCCTCTTCACGCCCTTTTCCCCCATCCTCCGGGCTCGCACTCCTAACTTCCTTCCTCTCCGTCCCCCCCCTGTCCCTCCTCCAGGCCCGGACACGTCCTCCTCCTCGTTCGCAGGCGTTCTTGAGAGCGTGCGCCCGTCCCGAGGCCTTCGCCGGACACGTCGCACACCAGTGGGACTGGGCGACCCAGGATTGCAGCACGGGGAACTCCTTACGACTGGGCTGCGACAGGACCTGAGGGGACCGAGTCTGCCTGATGCACGCAAAGGCGCCCTCTTTTGCCTCCCTCTGTTTGGCTCCACCCCCGACGCCCTCTGCTGCTCGCTGCTTCGCGTTGGGTTCGCTAACGCTTCCCCGCTCGTTCTGAACGCCTTGGGGGGTCATCCCTGAATCTCCCACAAGGCAGCCTGTTAGAATGACCACACCCCCACTACTCTTACTTACACCTATCAGCTCTTTTGGAGTGTACCTGGTCTCGCGCGTATCGCTACCATATATGTATATATCTATATATGTATGCATGTGTGTATATATATAAATATAAATGTATTCACGTACATCGTATACTTACATGCATCGTATACATACATACATACATACATCCATACATACATCCTCGACCCCGCTCTATTTCCAGGCCAGCATCTCGACAGTGTCTGTTCGCAAACGTTGTCCAGCCAGAGTGCACCATCCATCCGCGTCGAGCAGAGACGCGGGAGGCCAGGATAAACAAAAGCGACCTCCCGCGACAGAAGGAGCATCTCTTTACAAGGCTCAAGAGTGGGTGGGCAGGGTTGAGCCCCAAAACCCACGGAAGCGATCTAACATCGACGGCTTGGACCCGTGACGGGGTGAGGAAAGACATGCACGCATAGGATATCCTCGACCCCGCTCTATTTCCAAGCCAGCATCTTGACGGTGTCTGTTCGCAAACGTTGTCCAGCCAGAGTGCGCCATCCATCCGCGTCGAGCAGAGACGCGGGAGGCCAGGACAAACAAAAACGACCTCGAAACATCTCTCCGAAGATCTAACTGGCCCTATGCCGCCAATCGCACCAAGGATTGGTGCGTGGATGACAATCTAGCTTCACGATAGGCTCTGGCAAGGGCACTGGACAAACTGGGCGGGTATGGCTCGGCAATCTTTGCCCAGAATGCGCCGGATGGCGTCTTGCCTTCCAGAGCTCGGTGTAGACGGTGTGTGAAAGAACAAAGGCCACGCCCTGTGCACTTGCAAGAGCTGATCGAGTCAAAACTGAGATGAGCATATCTCACACGGGTTCTCTTCCTCCAAGCTGTGCCGAAGGCGCAGAAATCAAACTCCACAGTCTAAACCCCCGGCTGGCGCGCAGCATGCTGGGCCCAGCGGGTCTGCCAGACCCACGAGGTGGAGGGGTTCTCGATCGCTGCGGGGACTCCGCGCCTGGCACATTCCAAAAAGAGGCTGAAAGAAAACTGCGATAGTTTGTTACCCGTCTCGACTTTGATGGGGGTCAGCCGACGACAGGTTGGGCAGGCCAAGCACGTGGGCGGCGCCCCGCAGGGGTGGTGGCCCGTTGGGCCGATTCCTTGCCCGTGACCACGAGCTGCAGGGCATCCCAAGCCAGACGCCCTGCAGCGGGCCACCACGGAGCCACCCGCGCACCACGCGCTGGGCTCGCCGTCGGCTGAGGTCACCGAGGGTGGGCTCATGGCCCACGTCCAGCTCGAAGACCAGGCGAGAAGTCATGCTCCGCCGCAGCGCACGGGACCAGTTCCCAGAGCCACTGATGATCTCCAGGTGCACCTTCGAGTCGGTCAGGTGGGCCCAGGAGCTCAGATTCTGCATGGGGTGCCTCCAATAGTCACGACGCAACCGAGGGCCCGAGACTGTGGGACTGGCTGCAGACGCCGCAGCTCCACTTGAACTCGACCATCCTTCGCGTGCTGCATGAGGCTCCTGACGGCCTCCCACTGCCTGCGCTTCTTGATGTCGCGGAACTCCCAGGCGTTCGTCGGCCACTCGGGGCTGGCCCCTCCGTGGCGCAGTTGAAACAGCATTGGGGGGCCGAGGGCGCCCAGTCCGAGGGCGGCGCCCGCCTGCAGGAGCGCCCGTATCCAGGACCTCATGCCCAGGTAGAGCAGGGGCGCGTCGACCGCACGTCTCTCCACGAGGCAATCCAACAGCTGGTCGACCCCGCTGAACTCTTGGTTGTCCACCTGGAGACTGGCGTCGTAGCCCTGGGTCTTCGACATCACCCTGAGCTCCGCGGGAAACAGCAGGATCGAGTACATGCCCAGATGATGTGGACCAGCCCTGACCGACTGCACGACTGACTGGACGCGCAGCGACAGCGTCTCCGACGGCCCCAGGCCGAGGGCGGAAGTCAGCACGGCCGTTCGGGCGGCGGCCAGGGAGTCGTTCGGCGCCATCCAGTCGGCCCCCAGGTCCGTGACGCTCGCCACCGACAGGCACGCCTTCGTCGACCAAGTCAGGGAAGCTCGGTATCGGACCGGGTAGCTCCAGGCGGCCCTGTCCTTCACGGCCCTCTGCTCGAGGAACGACCGCTGGAGCCGATCCCGCCAGCTCTTGCCCCGGGGCTGCCTCGCCTGGCGGCGGCTCGCCCGCCCCGGGCGGTCCAGCGACTCGGCTGCCAGCTCCGGAGGCCCCGCCGGGCTTGCGGCTGCCGTCGCGGGGGTTTGCCCAGACAGAGGGCCAGCAAGCCTCCTCCTCGAGGCCAGGCGGGGGCCCGATGTCGGCCCAGCTCTCGCCGGCAGGCCCTCCGTGCCCGCTCGCAGGGCTGGGGCGGCCAGCGGCGGCGCCGAGGCATCAGGGATCGGCCGCCGCGGCCGCGTTGCCCACGCCCGGCAGGTTCCTGGAGGCGCGGTCGGCCGAGTTCCTCTCCGAGGGGGCCCAGCGCCAGAAGAACGCAGCGCCGCTGGCCAGCGAAAGGGCCGCCAGCTGCCGGCGCGCGCGGCCTATCTCCCGCCGCGACGAACGCCCCTTGGTGGCGGCCAGGATGGCTCCCAAACAGTCGCCCAAGCAGAGATGGCATCGGTTGAATGATGAGACACGTCGAAGGACATGGCGAAGGGCCACAACCATACCGCGGGCCTCCAAGACAACCTGATGCTCTGAACGACTCCAGCGATGAGACACCACCGGGACCCAGCCTTTCGCCCAGACGTCGTATGGGATTTCGGGGAACTCCTCCTCCTCCTCCTCGATGTCATTGACCATCTCCTCCTCCACGTGTGCCCCCTTCATCGCGGACTCCATGACAGGCTCTTCTACGGGCACCTCCAAGGGCTCCTTGATCGGGGCCTTCGGGTTCCCGGAGCAGTCGATGGTGAAGACCTGCTCTGGGGTGAAGGGGTCGGCGGAGGTCGCCGACTTGAAGGCGTGGGGCCGATGCGACACCTCGGACTCCTGATGAGTGCTGAATCTCCATCTCTCATTGTGCTTGGAGAGCTCCCGAGCAACTGGGGCAGATGACTTTTTCTGAATGACTCCACCTCCCCACCGCGATGAGTCTACCATCGTGAGCGTGCTGTCGAACGAGGCGCCAGCGCCCCTGAAACAGAACGCGACAAGGCTGGCGCGCCAACGAAGCTCGCGGAGGCAAGAGGACCACAGCCGCGCCGCGCGGCCTCCATACTGGGCAGAAAGCGCACAGCGAATTGAGAGCGGACAAGACCTCTCGGCGAATCAGACCCCGCGAGGTGAAATGGGACACCACGCGCGAGATCGTCTTGCCCGAGGCATATCCCCTCCGGCACAGCTCCAGGAAGGCCAATCTCAGCTTCCAGCGGAGCGCTGGGTTCAGCCCGATGATCGGGAACTTCTCGTCGAACTGCCAGCCCAGTGCCACGGCGCCAAAACTGCACTCGACCCCGTGGGTAGGGAGTCCCGCTGCACGAAGGTTCGAGTCCACGGCCGACGCAGCGGCGGCCGCCGTCTCCAAGTCCGTAGAGAGGCTGATCGCATTGTCCACGTACTCGGTATGAATCACACCCTCGGACACCTGAGGCACAGGTCGGCGGTCCACGAAGCGGTTCGCGAGGGAGAGCTGGGGCGCCTTCAGAGCCATCCCCTCCAGCATCGTCTGGCAGATCCACAGGCTGAAGGAGCAGCCCATCGGGGGGCACCTGAAGCGCGGATACAACAAGTCGGTTCCCGCCAGGCGCCGCCCGTCCGTGGTGCTCTCGAGGCCCAGCAACCCAGCGCGGCATCCAGGTAGCGCGAAGTACCTCCTGAACTTCGGAGGCAGCAGCATCGTGTAGAACGCGTCCGCCAGGTCGACCTCCGCCACCGCGATGGGCTTGCCCCCATCCGCGTGGAGGCCGGCGAAGGTCGCACCCGACGCTAGAGCGACCTTGTCGGGGACCTGGATTTGCGGAGAGGCGTGCCTGCCGTCCAGGATGAGCCGCAGCTTACCCGACTTCTTGTAAACGAAGAAGACACCTACGTTGCAACACTTGTCCTTGTAGAAATCGAAAAGATTCCGGCGCTCGAGGGTCCGCAGCAGCTGGACATGCAGCTTGGGGTTCCTCAGTGCCGGGTCGGTGTAGAGCTTCCGGGGGCCCTCAGACTCGATCCGAGCACGACCCTCAGACTGGGGCAACATCATGCCATCAAGCCGCTCGACTATCTTGCGGCCAGCATCCCCTCCCAGCGTGTCAAGCGGCACAGGCTCGAAACCCTCGTTTGGAAGCGAGAGACTATTGATTTTGTCAAAGTCGAGCGGGGCGACGGTGGCGCTCTCGCCGGCATAGTCGCTGAGAACTCGGAGCTCCTCAAGGGCTCCTGAGCCAATCAATCCCTCCAGGGGAGCGCCGAACCGTCGGACTGCGTCTCGAACGTTGTCCAGGGCCTGCCGCTGGCCCGCAGTGATGGACTGAGGGTGGCTGACGGGGTGCCAGGGCTGGCCAAGGTACATCTCGTTGAGGGTCCGAATGATCTCGCCCTCCATCGAGTTGGCGTGGCCCTTGCGGAGAACCCGACGCGCCACCGAACGTGGACAAGCGATGCCCTGCGCCTCCGAAGTTGCCCGATGCTGTTGACCGGGCGCTGGCAGTGAAAATAGATCACGCTGTCGTCCAGCGCGATCGCCCAACGAGTACAACTCACCAGCAGGCGGCGGGCCACCGCCGCTGGGCCCCCCTCCGAAAACGCGCGCACCGCCGGGGGGAAGCGGCACGCGTGGTCGTGGACTCGTCATGGCTGCAAGGCCCGCTGCTCCTCGCGGGCCTTGCGAACTTGCTTCAGCACCGAAGCGTCCCTCTCCACCTCCTTCGCCACCTGCTCGAGGAGCAAGGGGCATATCATGCTCGTCCCATGGTCTCGAGGGAGACCCGTGAAGACGGTGCCATCGTCGATGAACCCGAAGCTCAGCAGGACCTGGCGTCCACCGCCATGTCCGCGGCCTCGGTTCTTCTCCTTGTCGTTCCCCTCGTCGCCTCCGTCTCCGACAAGGGGCGCGCTGAGGTGAGGGTCCCGATCCGCGTCGTACACGTGCTCATGCATCAAGCACGTCCTGAACATCTCCTCCACGCCCGTCGGGTTCGGCAGGTCGAGGCCGCCCCGGCAGGAGAGGGTGTAGATGGCCCACATATTCGCCTCGTAGTCGCCGCCTCCGTAGTCCTCGGCCGACAGCCCAAGGGCGAACCTCCAGAACCTGGAGCGGTCGAGCGGGCCGCCCTGGCGTCGGTCTACGAACTGACAGCGCCAGAAACACATGCGGGGGCCAGGAAAGTGCCAGTCCACGAACGACTCCTTTGAGAAGCTGGCCACGGCATCGCGCCACTGCTTCGAGAGCCTGCCGCTCGGAACCGCTGGGTTCGCGACGATGCTCCTCATCAGCCTGGCGTCGGAAGTGGTCTCCCTCCCCGCGTAGATCTGCGCGGGCTCGGAAATCGAGCGGATGGCCACCCGCGTCCCATCAGCCAGCGGCGTCAGGCTGGCGGCCCCGCGGAGGTGCGAGCCAGCGGGCGGGGCCACAACTGCGCCGCGCTGGCCCGCCGTGGTCGACTCGATCAGCACCCGCACCGCCGCTCCAGCCGCCCGGGCCGCAGCCCCTGGCCCAGCCGCGGCTGAGCCGCCTGGGGCCGCTCCGCCAGCGGGGGGAGGCACGGCCAGGGCACCGGCGGGCCACGCCGCTGGGGCGGCCCACGCAGCGGCCGTTGGGGCCGCGGCGCCTGCGGCGGCTAGCCCAGCGCCCGCGCCAGGCCCATCGCCTCCTGCGGGACCGAAGGTCAGCGGGACGACGAACGGTCTGCCCGGCGCAAGCAGCCGCAAGCGCAGGTGGTCGGCGACCAGAACGGCGGTGCCGTAGTCCAGCACGGTCGGGTCAATCCGCTGCATCTGAGCCACCGTGCGGTTCCACCCGAACCTGTACGGGTTGACGGTACCGACGCCTGGCGGGAGAGCTGCACGGTCTGATGTGAACCTCACCGCAGCGATGTCTCTCCCCTGGCGTGAGTAGTCTTCCTCATAGATGTCATTGACCACCGCGCAGATGAGCACCATCCACTCAGCGACTCTCTCCAGTCGAGTCCACAACCGTCGCCCTGGAACAGACGCTGGTGCCACATTAGCTCCCCTTCGTAGTGGGCCGACGCTCCCTGGAGCATCCCATGAGGTGCTGCTCTCACTGGCCCCACGTTCTGCACGGCCAGCCTTGCGGCGGCAGCACGTCAGCCCGACACGGTTCCACGACAGAGCGCCGTAGGCCAGCGCCAGGACCAGCAGGAGAACCTCGTTCACCAACACCACAGACCAGACGGAGGAGGGCTGTCTCGGCTCGCTGCTGCCCCCGCCGTTCGCCGAAGGCGTGGCGGGAGCCGGGGAGCCCCCGGGGCACGTCGGACAGCCAGGGCACGGCGGGCACACACAGCTGGGTATGGCAGGGCAAAAGGGAACGTGGACAGGTGGGCACCTCTGCAGGTTGCCGCCCAAGAGATACGCGAACGCTCCCTGCCAAATGTACTGGGCGGCAAGGAGCCAGTAATCCATACGCACTGCCTTGGTACGAATTCTTGAGCCCAAAAACCAACGGAAACGATCTAACATCGACGGCCTGGACCCGTGACGGGATGAGGAAAGACATGCACGCATAGGATATACATACATACAGACATGCATGCATGCATACATACACTCATACATCCATCCATCAATACATCTCGCTATATTTACACGTGCATGCACGTCTTTGCTTCTATTACTGAAACAGAAGCACCCCTCCGAGAAAGTAGCTCATAAGGGATTAACCCCACCAGCTCTGAGTGTTTGAATGGTTTTGCGAGTTTCTTCTTCCAACCCCCCTCTTCCCCTTCGCGGAAGGGTTCCCCCTCTATCTACCCCTCCCCCTGGACCTGGAGGGGGCGTTCCGCGGGTCGTTGGAACGTCCAATTATGGCCTCGGCGAGGAACACAACAGCATTGATCTTACTAGCGCTTTGGCCACATGTTGGCCTCCTGGGGGGAAATGCTAATCAAGGAGCCCCCCTCCTTTGATCGATCTCCTCCAAGATGGCTCCAAGATGGCTCCCCGAGGCTCGCACGGGGTGCCCCAAGGCGGCCCCAAGCGGTGCCCAGGAGGCCCCAAGCGGCCCTCAAGGAGGCGCCCCAAGCGCACCCAAAACGCCACAAGAGGCCTCGGCGAGAAGGCCGACGTCATTGATTTTACATGGTTTTGACAACAGGTTGGCCTCCCTGGGGGAGACCCATCTTGAGGAGCCCCTGTCCTTTGACCGATCTCCTCCAAGATGGTCCCAAGATGGCCCGTGCTCCCCATGAGCGACAAACCCCTGAAACGGCTGCCGCCCGCCCAGCGGGGTCGTCGCAGCGGGGTGTGGGGGTCACAGCAGGGAGCGCTGGCCTGGGCACTTGTCTGGATGACACTGGCGCGCTTCTCGGTAGTAGGCCTGAGCGCGCGCCGCGGAGGTTCCTCTGACGACCATCCATCGTGGTCCTCCTCCTCCTCCTCCGCCTCTTCCATAAAGGCGTTTTCGGATTTTAATTTCGGCACTTGGCCGAACGGGGTTTGGGGAGGAGGGAGGGTCTGCTTCTGGGCCGGTGCTCACGCGATCTGCTTTTGCCAGTCGCGCCAGCGAACAGGAGGGAAGGGACTCTGACCAGTCGCCAGAAACCATCCTGTCTGTAGGCTGGGGTGGGGAGGGGGGAAGGGCCCGCGCCCATCGGCGAAAGAACATACACACAAACGGCGACCATCTGAGACTCCCCCTCGCCCTGATCCTCCTTTTCACGCGCCTCCTGCGCCTCCGCTTCCGCCTCCTCCTCCTCCTCCTCTTCCTCGCCGCCAGTAAGGCCCCCTCCGTCGCCCCCCTGGGTGCCCGACGGGATCCCTTCTCAGATCGCTATGCGCTCAGTGAAGGCGAAGCCAGGACAAGGAATATTAAATTTGTGGATGCCATGGCAATGGACACTCTAACAATCCTACCATTGAATTAAAGGTGTGTTTCACATGTGTAAAACATGTCCTAAAAACATTTCAAGCGTGATTTTACATATTTAAAATATGTTTGCCACAGTTTTGGGCATCTGGCAATTATTTGGCGTCACGCTTACTCTCCAGTAACCGACTTCCACAATCTTACCTCGGGCGAGGATAAATCGAGAATATCAGAGATCCAGCAGCTCTGGAAGATGTCTCGGGCGCCGCGGCCTTCCCATAGCGTTCTGGAACGCTCTGGAATGGATGTATCCTCGTCGAAACCCCGTCCGATCCTTCCCCCGTCTCGGCACCCGGGGCCGATCTTCCTGAGGGGCTCTGCCCCTGCAAGCTCTCGAGGAGGATGAGGAGAGAGGACGAGGGGGGTCGGCCGCTTGGCCGAGAGATCCCCGCAGGGTGCATGGCCTCGACAGCTGGGCTGGACCTGCTTGGTATCCCGTGGGCTGGAGGCCATCGAGCCGAGGCCCCTCTCACCTGGCACGCGGGAAGCGGAGCTCTCCACGGGGACGCTCCGTCCCTACGGGTAGCCCCCGTGCAGTCTGCAAGGGCTGCGCCCAGAGCCGCCGCTATGTCTTGAGCGCCGCCAAGAAGAGGAGGAGGCGGAGGAACGGAGGAGAAGCAGGAGGAGGAGCAGGAGGAGGAGGAGGAGGAGGAGGAGGAGGAGGAGGAGGAGGAGGAGGAGGAGGAGGAGGAGGAGGGGGCGGGGGAGCAGGAGGAGGACGAGGAGGAGGAGGAGTAGGAGGAGGAGGAGGAGGAGGAGGAGGAGGAGGAGACCAGGAGGAGGAGGAGCAGGAGGAGGAGGGGGAGGAGCAGGAGCAGGAGGAGGAGGGGGAGGAGAGGAGCAGAGGAGAGAGGAGGAGGAGAGGAGAGGAGGAGGAGGAGGAGGGGAGAGAGGAGGAGGAGGAGGAGAAGGAGGCGGAGCAGGACCAGGAGGTGGAGGGAGGAGGAGGAGGAGGAGGAGGAGGAGGAGCAGGAGGAGGCGGAGGCGGAGGAGGAGGAGGAACGGAGCAGGAGCAGGAGCCGGAGCCAGAGGAGGAGGAGGAGGAGGAGGAGGAGGAAGAGGAGGAGGAGGAGGAGGAGGAGGAGGAGGAGGAGGAGGAGGAGGAGGAGCCTGTGGACTCTGCCGCAGTCTGTGCTGGTGCTCCCGAGGCAGAGGCCTCTGGAGACCTCCAGAGGCCCCTGGCAGCTCCCCGTCGTGGGCACGGCAGACAGTCGAGCGATTCCACGCGGCGGGGGGCCGGACTCGTCCTCCGACGAGGCGGACGCCTTCTGTGCGTGGCGGGCGCGGCACGCTCGGGGGCGGCCAAGCGGGGGGCGTCCAAAAGGGGGGGGGGGGGCGCAAATCATGGCCAGCGGCACGTGCGCGGCCCAAGGGGGGGGGGGCCGGGGACGTACTGAAATAAGAAGAGGCGCAATGAAATCTGGGGAGATTCCATGCCCCCCCCATGATACCCCCCTCCCGAAATCATCACCCCCCTCTTGGCCGCCCCCGACCTAAAATTCGGGGATCTACTGACCCGGGCCAATCCAGACCTGGGTCAGTCAGGCCCTGCTGGGTCCTGCAGGATCCTGCACCCAAGTTCGGGTTAGTGCACCCCTGGCTCCGCAGGATCCCGCAAGAGCCGGCGCTCTCACGGACCCCCGTTTGCCTTGACCCCCGCCTCTTGAGCCCCGACAGGTGGATTCGGCCGCTGCCTCGGTGCCCTGGAGCCCCTGGAGAGGGCCCTCGAGTGGCCAGAGATAGGCCGAGGCACCTGTGGGGCGCGAGGCGTCTCGCCTCAGCGGGCGCCCCCGCGAATCAGCGGCGCCCCGCCGCCCATGCGGGCGGCCTTCGCGTGGCTGCAGCACGAGAGGCCGACCGCGCTGGCTCGTGCGGCCGCTGCCCCGCCAGTCGCCGCACGTCGTCAGGGTGCCAGGGCCATAATGCAGGGCACGTGGGCGTCCAGGCAAGACGAGGCCAGGACGAGGATCAAACCGGGTAAGGACAACTCGGGGATCTGTGCACTCCAGCGGCTCTGAAGGCTGTCTGCCGCGGCCTCCTCAGAGCGTTCCGGGATTCTCTGCGAGCGTTTCGGAATGCTCTGGAACGGATGTATCCTCGTCCTAGCCCCGTCCGGCCAGGGTGTCCTCGGAAAGCCACCTCATCACTCATTGCCACAGGAGGGGCCAATGGGAGGCGACGGCGACGATGATGCTGATGGTGGTGGTGATGATGACGATGATGACGACGCCGACGACGACGATGATGCAGATGTTTTGTTGCTGATGATGAGGATGATGATGCTGATGATGCTGATATTTCTGATGATTCTCGATGATGATGAGGATGATGATGCTGCTGCTGAAGATGACGAGGAATTTGATACTGGCGATGCTGTTGATGATGATGCTGATGATTATGACGATGATGATTCTCAGGATTATGAGGCTGCTGCTGATGACGAGGTTGTTGTTGATGCTGACGGTGTTGCTGATGGTGGTAGTGATGGGGAGGACAATGATGATGATGATGATGTTGATGATGATGATGATGGTGGTGGTGATGATGATGATGCTGCTGATACTAATGATGATACTGAGGATGACGATATTTATGATGATGCTGATGATGACGATGATGATGATTCTGATGCTGATGATGCGGAGGATGCTGCTGATGCTGATGATGATGCTGATGCTGAGGCTGATGCTGTTGCTGATGATGCTGATGATGAAGATGATGATGAGAACAAAGACGAGGAGAATCGTGACAACGAGGATAGCAATAACGGGAACAAGCCACGATACATGTCATATCAATTTCGTGGCCAGCCCACGAATGACCCCAGAAAACAAACGGCAACACGATGGCGAATGAAAAGGATGGATCGGAGGGACATGCTGATGAGAATAAGGACGAGGGGGAAGATAAAGACGATGTCGCCCTACGCAGATCCAGCTCGGCCTCGGCCCACTGATTGGTGCCAATTATGCAACTGACGCCAATTTCCTTCGTTCCTGGATTGTCCAGCGAGGCCCACCCCTTCGCGGACAACCACATGATCACATCGCCTTCTGGTGCGTTCCCCCTTCCGGTTCCTCCTCCGCCCGCCCCCTTCTCCTCGACTCATCCTCCTTCTGTGCTCCTCCTCTTCCTCCTCCTCCTTCTCCCCCTCTCCTCCTCCTCCTCCGCCTCCTCCGTTCTCCTCCTCCTCCTCCTCCTCTTCCTCCTCTGCCTCTTCCGTCCTCTCCTCCTCCTCCTCCTCCTCCTCATCCCTTCTCCTCCCTCGTCGCGGGGAGGGGGCGAGTGGGTCTGCCTTCTTCAGCTCCGAGGCCGAGGCCCCCGTGGGCACGTTCAGCAGGTCGTAGTACCTCGGTGGACGTCGTGGGGGCGAGCGAGCGAGGGGGGGCAGACCTGCAGGGTCGGACCTTCCCTTCCCTGCTCCTCCCTGCGCCTCCCTCCTCCTCCTCCGCCTCCTCCGCCTCCTCCCTCCTCCCTTTCCTTCCTTCCCTCCTCCTCCCTCCTCTCCCGTACTCCTCTCCTCCTCCATCCCTCCTCCTTATATCTGTGTATGTATATTTATACATATATATATAATTCCTCCCCGTCGCATCCCGAGGCTTGTCGGTAGGGCGGGTTAGAAGTTTAACAGGATAATCTCTCACCATGTACGATCCTTAACCTGAAAAGTTGCAAACGCTTCACGAATAGAGAGCGGACCATTTTCAACATGTGGCTCTCGCCTTAGCCCCGCGCACTTTCGTTTTAAACTTCGCAGACGTTTCACAGATGGAGGGCGTTTCCTTTCCAACATGTGGCTCTCGCCTCAGCGCCGCGCGCATTCGTTTTAAGAGTTTTCAGCAGTGTCAGTGATTCTCATGGCCAACGTCCCCAACATGGTGTTCTGACACGATGTTGGACTGTCATGGCGCAACAGCAGTCACGTTGATTCGCGGAGTTGAAGTTCAAGGAATGGTGTTCTGGCACGATTCAGGATCATCAAGGCGCAACACTAATGGTGATTCGCGGCGTTGAAATCCTAGGAATGGTATTCTGGCGCAGTTCAAGATGTTCTAGCGGTTGTCTTACATCGGGGCACTTCCTTCAGTGAAAATGAATCCGTGTATAGGGCCAGTGATGAGCTTGGAGGGAAGGTTTGTTACAATATCGTTGAGGAGTCTTGGGTTTACACTGGCTCTCCTCCTCCTCCTCCTCCGCCTCCTCCCTCCTGCTCCCTCTTCCTCATCCTCCTCCCATTCCTCCTCCTCCCTCCACTTACAACTTCCTCCTCCCTCCTCCTTTTCCTCCTCATCCCCCCCCCCTCGAGGAGGAGGAGGATGATGAGGATGAGGATGAGGAGGAGGAAGATCGAATAACAGCAAAGGCATACGCATCGACTGTGGGAGCCCCGCGCGGATGCATGGGATCAACGCTGGGCACCCCAACCTGGCGCGCGGACGCGCCAGGGGCGGCGCCGGAAGCGTTATCACGGGGGCCCCAGCGCCGACCCAAGAAATCCGCGTGCACCTCGGAAGTTTTGATTACGTGTGTTTATTGTTTCTCTTCTTCTTCTTCTTCTTCGAGGTGGGTGGGTGCGTGGGAGGAGGAGGAAGAGGAGGAGGAGGAGGAGGAGGAGGAGGAGGAGGAGGAGGAGGAGGAGGAGAGGAGTGGTAAGGCTTCAGGTTGCGCACAGAAAGTCCCCTCCCCAGGTAGTTCTCCTGGCCTCAACAAGCCCTCCCAAGAGCCCAGGGCGGCCTGCAAACCTCATCCCTGAGGCGCGGAGCGCCCCAGCGCCCGCCGCCGCGCGGAGCGCCCCAAGAGGTCCGCCGCCGCCGTAGGCGGCGCCAGGGTATTGAGACGGCACCAGGCTGCTCGGGGGGCCTGTTGAGGCCAGCTGGGACTACCTGGGGTGGGTGGGTCGGAGGAGGAGGGAGGAGGAGAGGGTGGAGGAAGAGGAGGAGGAGGAGGAGGAGGAGGAGGAGGAGGAGGAGGAGAGGAGGAGGAGGAAGAGATGGAGGAGGATGAGAAGGGATCGGAGGAGGAGGAGAAGGAGCAGGCGGGCGGACGGCTGTGGATGCCCTGACGTGAGTTTTCGGGTCATGACTTGGCTCTCGGGCGGCCGATCAGGACGATCCAGGCAACCCCAGAACGGTCTCGGCGAGGCGCAGCTGCTGGAGCGCATCCCCAAGCTGGAGAATCACCGAGAATTGGCGAAAGCGTCCGACAACCTCGAACCACTACCCTCGAGGACGAGGAGGAGGAGGAGGAGGGGGAGGAAGTACCAGTGAAAAGCCAAGCCCAAGACTCATCAACGATATTGCAATCAGCCCTCCCTCCAAGCTCCCTCTTCATAAGCCCCTACGCTAAATCATTTTTATTGAGTGGGAGCAGTGATCACGAACAAAGCAAACTTTTATCAGAGTACTTTTTTCCTCGACTCGTCGATGTTATCGTGGTCGATCTCTCTCTCTCTCTCAGAGAGGAAGCCTGCAAAAGATGCTCTAGATGGTTCGGTCAGGCTTGAGCTCCGGTATGCAAACACCTGTTGCTGCGATCGCGGCTCCACGGACAGATGCCGACCAAACAAATCAGCTTGGGTACTCAATCATTTTCACTGAAAGAAGTCCACTGTTGGGAAACAACCGTTTGAACATCCCGAACTGTGCCAGAACACCGTTCCTGAAACATCAACGCCGCGAATCACCGATACTGTTGCGTCTTGACGATCCTGAATCGTGCCAGAGCACAATTCCTGCGACTTTAACACCGCGAATCAACGTGACCGTTGACCCCTGATAATCCGACATCATGCCAAATCACCACTTCTGAGACATTAGCCATGAGAAACCTAGAAAGCAACTGCAAACTCTTATGACGAATGTGCGCAGCACTGCGGCGATAACCACATTTTGAAAGCTGGCAGCCCTCCATCCGTGAAACTAATGCAAATTATTTCTGAGCTTCAAGATCATGAGAAGTGAGGAAATCTCAGGCGAAAGCCCCGGCCCGCCCTTTCGACCGGCCTCGGGGTGCGACAGGGAATACTATTGTAAGGAGAAGGGATGGAGGGAGCCTGCGATGCGGACGGTCGGTGCCCGCGCGACTCGAAGCGGGCCAGCCGACAGCGTCGCGCCCGCGGCGGGCGGGACGGCGCCGCTTCCCTTGGACTACCCTCGGGCTTCCCTCGGGGGAGGAAGAGGAGGGGAGCAAGGGGCGCACGCGCTTTGCCCAGGTCGGCTCCGAGCAGGTCGTCTCTTGCCCGCAGGACGCCCGAGCTCCGTGGCTTAGGGCCCAGCTTTACAAGGAAGGGGGGAACAGAAGGTGGCTCCTCCTCCTCCTCCTCCTCCTCCGCCTCCTCCTCCGCCTCCTCCTCGCGCCCGCTCCTCCTCGCTCCTCCTCCCTCGCCTCCTCCTCTTCTCCTCGCCTCCCTCCTCCTCCTCCTCCTCCTCCTCCTCCTCCTCCTCCTCCCTCCTCCTCCTCCTCCTCCTCCCTCCTCCTCCCTCCCTCCTCCTCCTCCTCCTCCTCCTCCTCCTCCTCCTCCTTCTCCTCCTCCTCGTCGTCCTTCTCGTCGCCCTTCTCGTCGTCCTCCTCCTCCTCCTCCTCCTCCTCAGAAGGCGGTGAAGGCGCAGGAAGAGGGCCGGGCACTCCGTCTCCTTCACCTTGGCGCTGGCCGTGCTCCCGCAGGCGCCCGCGGCGCCCGCCTCGTCGTCGGACCCCTCGTCGGCCGCCTCGCCGCCCGGCGGGAGTTGGGATCGGGCGGCCTCGAGGAAGAATAGCGAGGGGATGAGGAGGAGGATGAGGATGAGGATGAGGAGGAGGAGGAAGAGGAGGAGGAGGAGGAGGAGGAAGGAAGGAGGAGGCAGGAGCGGACGATCTGATCCCCCTCGTTCCCCCCGCCCTCCCTCACGACGTCGGATGTCCCCCCGTCCTCCCTGAGAGGAGGAGGAGCGAGGAGGAGAAAGATGAGGAGGAGGGAGGGAGAGAGGAGGTAACTGGAGACGGGCTGGAAGCCATGCGGTCTACGATCAACCGACGCCCGACGCATCCAAAGCAGACTCCTCGTTCAGGAGCGCGGGCGGACGCGTCGAAGGGGGGGGGAATGGGAGAGGAGGAAGGTGCACGAGGAGGAGGGGGAAGGGGCGGAAGGGAGGAGGGATCGCGAGGATGGTGAGGGTGGAGGGAAAGGGAGGAGGCGGACGTCTCTGTGGCCCTGGTGAAGCTCTGGCCGGTCTCTTCGCCTTGGTGAAGCAGGCCTTGCGCTGTATGGGTCCTCCGCCTGGAAGAGGCAAAACAAAGCAATCAGTTTCAGAAAAGTCCGCTTCAGGATCTTGCGCTGTGCAGTAGGCGCTCTGCGGAATAGAGGGCCCGTGGAAGAATATCGAGGTGTGGTCTGATGCAGGCTGTGTGTGGGGCATCGGGTGCCCAATCGGGGAGCAAACATTGCCCACGCTCGGCAAAGTGCACATTCCAAGCCTCAACGGGTCATCTCACGCCGTTCCTCCAGACCTCGAAACTTGGCCTGAACGAGGTACCTGGGCCCTCCGTTGTCGCGGGCCCCAGGTGGAACCGTCACCCTCCCTGGGGTAGCAAATCGCCCCGAAGGTGGAGGATGGGATGAGGGATGAGGAGGGAGGACGAGGAACAGGGAGGAGGGGAGGAAGGGAGGAGGCATGGGGAGGTGCGAGCGAACGAGGCGCCTTTCCGGGCACATGCGGCGAAGCGCGCGTGCCTGGGCCAGTTTGGGTAAGGCGCGCGAGGCTGTAGCCAATTAACACCAGCCAGCCTCGTATTCAAATGTGAAAGAGAGGGGCGGTCAGTGTAGGGCGACGGCGACGACGTAGAGCGAAGTACACCGTGGTGCAGTGGCATGCTGCGTACACTCCTGAGGAGGCTTGCCAAATGCAAACTCATTCTCTTGCATGCAGACGGGAGGGTGGGGGGAGGGAAGAAAGAACGATCCATATATATATATATATACACACACTTACACATGCATACAGACAGACAGGCACATCGATATATAATACAGTATGTCAGAGTGAAGGGGCCGAACGGTCATTCATTGTCCTTGGGCGCGTGGTTGATGTGAGGTTCGCGGTGCGGGCTGTTGAACTCTCATTCTCGAAAATCTCCCGTCACCGGTACACGTTGCGATTTTCAGTTGAAGTGCCCCCTCGGGGCTCGCACTCTTTTTTGTATCAGGGAAAATCTTCCTGCTCAAACTGCGTTGTTGGGACTCGAACTACAACAACAACGGCTCCCACTGATATTTTTCTCAAGTTATTCCAGAATCTAGCTTTCGTGCGGGGCTTCCTCACAGTTTATGCTGGAATCGAGCTCTCGCGTGATCTTTCATCGCAGTGTGTGCAGACGCCGCACCCTCCACACTCAGGAATCACGCTCTCGCGTTGGCATTTCCCACGATTTACTGGGGGAATCGCGCTCGCTCGAAACTTCCGCGCGATTCATGCAGGACGCACGCTTCAGCAACCCGCCTGCTCGACCTGGCCGCCTGGGCCAGCAATCCCGACCCGCCCGCTGGGGTCTGCCCGCCCGATCTACCCGTCTGCTCCTAGCCCCCCTGCTCCTTGGCCCCCCTCCTGCTAATCTCTCTGATGCTCCATCCTTTTCCCTCCCCCTTCCATCCGTCCCTTCTTCTGATGTTTTCAGGTCTGCAATATATGCGCGTGACAAATAAAGAAGATGTACACCCAATGGAGGTATGATCGAAAACGAAGAAGCGGGTACGAATGGTTTGGGATATACGTGTTGAGTGGCACGCGAGTTGATAGGAGCGAACGGTCCTAACACGATGGTTGTTGCTGTTATTGTTGCTGTTGCTGCTGTTGCTGTGGTTGTTGTTGTTGTTGTTGTTGTTGTTGCTCGTGCTAAATTCAAATGTCTAAACGGTAATTATACTTGATCCACGCCCTCCGGCGACAATTGCATTTTTCAAATAAAAATGCTTCTCCCGGGGCTCGCACCATGTTTTCTACAAGGGAACATCTTGAAGCTCAGATTAGGCCCCTGGCCCCCGACTTACAACAACAACGGCTTCCGCCTGATTCTTCCTCACAATTTATTTCGATATCGCGGTTCGCGGGGGACTTCCTCACAATTTATACAAGGATCGCGCGCGCGTGGGACTTCTCGCAATTTATTCAGAGGGCACGCCCTCGACACTCAGGAATCACGCTCTCGCTTTGGATTCCTTTATGATTTATTGGGAATCGCGCCTTCGCTCGAAACGTCCTCGCGATTCATGCATGACTCGCGCTTCAGCAACCCGCCTGCTCGACCTGGCCGCCAATGTCCGCTTCCCCAACCCTCCCGTTAGGGTCTACCCGCCCGATCTGCCCGTCTGGTTCTGCCACGTGTTTTCTGTTCTTAGCTTCCCTGCTGCTACTTTCTCTCGTGTTCCATCCTCCTCCTTCCCCCTTGTCCCTTCCTTCCATCCGCCCTCCCTTCCCCTGTTTTCGGGGCTGCGCGACATACACGTATGCAGGAATCGGGCTCTCGCGTGGGACTTCATCGTAAGTTGTGCAGACGCCGCGCCCTCCACACTCAGGAATCATGCTGTCGTTTCGGCCTTGTTCGTGATTTGCTCGGAAATCGCGCCATCGCTCGAAACTTCCTCGCGATTCATGCGTGACTCACGCTTCAAAAACCCGCCTGATCGACCCGTCCGCCTGGGCCCGCCTTCCCGCCCCGCCGGCTGGCGTCTGCCCGCCCGATCTGCCCGTCAGGTTCTGCCACGTGTTTTCTGTTCCTAGCTTCCCTGCTGCTACTGTCTCTCGTGCTCCATCCCTCTCCCTTTCCTTTGTCCCCCTTCCATCCGTCCTCTCTTCCCATGTTTTAAGGGCTGCGCTAAATGCGCGTGGCAAGTAAGGAAGAAATACCCCAAGGGGGTATGATCGAAAACGAGGAGGGCGGGCACGCGAACAGATAGGAGCGAGCAGTCTTAAACTGATTGCTGTTGTTGATGTAGTTGTTGTTGTTGGGGTTGTTGTTGCTGCTGCTGCTGTTTTTGTGGTTGTTGTTGTTATTGTTGTTGTTGCTGTTGCTGCTGCTGCTACTGCTGCTGCTGTTGTGGTTGAACTTCCGTTTTAGAGAATAATCATTGTTGATCCCCCGTGTCTGGTAACCAACGCATTGTCCATTCAAAAGGCTTCCCCCTGGGCTTGCACTTTTTTTCGTGTGTGTGTGTGTGTGTGTGTTTTGTTGTTGTCGTAAAGAACGAGGAGAATCGAGGGGTTGTGGTTGTTGCTGCTGTTGCAATTGCTGTTGCTGCTGCTGCTCTTGTTTTGCTGCTGAACTCGCATTTCCAACGGATAATTATTGTTGACCCCCCTCCGGGGCACACTGTTTTTCAATTGAAGTGCCCGTACCGGGGCTCGCACCATGTTTTGTATTTACAAGGGAAAGTATTGGGTCTCAGAATTAAATTGTCGGCCCCTAGTTTACAACAGCAGCGGCTCCCGCCTGATACGTTCTCACGCTTTACTTACAAATCGCGCTCTCGCGCGGGACGTCCTCACAATTTATATACAAGGATCGCGCCCTCGCGTGGGACTTCTGGCAATTTATTCAGACGCCGCGCCCTCGGCACTCAGGAATCACGCTCACGCTATGGATTCCTTTCTGATTTATTGGGAATCGCGCTTTCGCGCGAAACATCCTCGCGACTCTTGCAGCATGCGCGCTTCAGCAACCCGCCTGCTCGACCTGGTCGCCTGTGTCCGCTTCCCCGACCCTCCTGTTAGGGTCTACCCGCCCGATCTGCCCGTCTGGTTCCGCCACGTGATTTCTGTTCCTAGCTTCCCTGCTGCTACTTTCTCTCGTGTTCCATCCTCCTCCTTCCTCCTTGTCCCTTCCTTACATCCGTCCTCTCTTCCCCTGTTTTAGGGGCTGCACGGCATACACGTTGCAAGTAAGAAAGGTATATACCCCATTTGGATAGCATCGAAGACGAAGAGGGCGGGTATCGAAGGTTGGGATAGACGTGTTGAATGGCACGCGAACAAGCAAGAGCGAACAGCATAAGACTGATTGTTGTTCTGGTCATTGCTGCTGTTGTTGCTGTTGTTGCTGTTACTGTGGAATTCCCACTTGTGAAGAATAATTGTTGTTGGCCACCCTGCTTGGTAACTGCTTTCTTTTTCATATATATATATATATATATATATAAAAATATGCACACATATTACAAAGGGGCATGAGGGGCCACCAAACTGGGCCCCTGGCCCCTCGTTTAGATGAGCAGCGGCTCAAGCCTGATACTTCCTCACAGTTTATTTCCAAATCGCGCTCTGGCGCGGGACGTCCTCACAATGTATGCAGGAATCGCGCTCTCGCGTGGGACTTCCTCGCAACTTATTCAGACGCCGCGCCCGCGACACTCAGGAATCACGCTCTCGCTGTGGACTTCCTCACGACGTATTTGGAAATCGCGCTTTCGCTTGAGACTTCCTTACTGCTATGCAGGACGCAGGCTTCAGCACCCCGCTTGTTCGACCTGGCCGTCTGGGCCCGCCTTCCTGACTCGCCTGTTAGGTTCTACCCGCCCGATCTGTCCGTCTGGTTCTGCCACGTGTTTTCTGCTACTAACTTCCCTGCTGTTACTTTCTCTCGCGCTCCATCCTTCTTCCCTTGTCCCTTCCTTCCATCCGTCCTCTCTTCCCCTTTTTTAGGGGCTGCGCGAAGCAGGTAAGGAAGATATGCCCCCCAA